GTTGATTACACCTCTTTCTTTTTGCAATGGCTTCATATACTCCGCAATTAGATCCACGTTTCCACCATCTTCATCTAGTTCTGTTTGAGAGGAGGATGAAGCTTCACCTACTTGATTCTCATAATGAGCATACAACTCATAAGTAGCCTCCTCAACATCACTTTTCAAATCACTAGCCGATTTCTTATCATCATACATTCACTTGAGAGCGAAACCAATAAAGTGCAACTTTCGCCATGGATCTAAAATGGCAGCTATGTACAACAACTTGTTCATCTTGTCAACATCTCCCCAATACTTCTCATATTTCTGTTTCATCTTCGTTGCCATGAAGCTTAATTGGTAATCCTCATTGTTTAAAACCATCCAACTCTTCAACAAATTTTACAAATTCCCAACTTCAGGAAGAAACAAGTTGGAGGTTATGTATTGTGAACCAGAAACTTTTAAAGTAAAGTGATAAAACTGCTCCAAGAATTTCATCATTCTTCTAGCACTCTCCCAATCATGTATATCAGGTATTCCACTCTTAGCTTCAAGATCATTTTTAAACTGCTTATCTGAAAATCGATAAAGATCAAAAGCATGCTCATATTTCACAGCAGATTGCAACATCAAAAAGATCGAGTTCCACCTCGTTCGAACATCAAGACACAAGCCACTTTTGCTTGTATTATCAAGTGCAACAAAATTATTGAACTTTTGAATTCTAGCAGGTGATTGCCTAATAAATCTCAGTCTCCCTGATTCTCTTGACCGCTACAGATATCTCAGACAATCCATCCATCACAACAAGGTTCATTATATGGGCAACACACCTGACGTGAAGGAATTTGCCACCACACATGCTAATCTTTCTATCATCAAAAATACTTTTCAATTCTTCTATTGCAGTGTCATTCGAGCTAGCATTGTCAACCGTGATTGTGAAAATCTTATCTATCCCCCATTCATCCAAACAAGACATAACTGCACTTGCAATATCCACCCCCTTATGTCTGAATATTTGGCAAAAATCAATTATCCTTTTTCTTAATATCCAGATTCTATCAATAAAATGGCCTGTCACACACATGAAATTCAATTTCTTGTTGGAAGTCCATGAATCTGTAGTCAAGCAAACTCTACCTCCACAGTTGCTAAAGATATTCTTTAACTTTTGCTTCAACTCAAGATAAAATTCCCAACAATCCCTAGTCACAGTCCTTCTAGAAGGTATGCAGAATCTAGGACAAGTAAGTGGCATAAAATATTTGAAACCCAAGTATTCAACAAACCTAAAAGGTAACTCATCAACAATAATCATATAAGCCAATCCTTTCCTTATAGCGGCTTGGTCAAACTTCCAGCTCCCTAACACTACTTCATCACTCTCTCCTAATCCAACTCTAATTGTATTCAACAGTTGTTGAGCAGTACCTTTTTCTATCACCGCATGGTTTTTCCATATGTCTGAGAAGCGCACTTGTCCCATTTCTACGCGATTTAGATTCATAAGTCTTCCCGCATTTGATACATGATGCCTTGAATCTTTCATTTGTCACATGCCTCTTGAATTGAACCCATACTTTTGATGTAAGCTTCCTGCCTTTTGCCTTCGGTGACTTAATTTGAGTTGCAGTTGAACCAATATCAGCAGCACCCACACTACTTGTACTTGCATCCGCTTCGACTTCTATATCTTCCCCACTTAAGGACTCCATTGCAACATCATCATATTCAGCCTAAACAATGATAAAGTAAATGAGAACCTGACATAATTATTGTTGGGAAGTTAATTGAGCATATAACAACACAGTATAGCAGCAACAACAATAATTATCATGTATCTTTTACCATAGTCTATCTCATTAGTTTGGGCTAGCTAGTTCTAATTAGTCATTACTTAATAGAGCTATATTGAAAACATTTGTGAGGTAATTAACAGATAAGCCGTGGAGGATGCGATGTAGCAGGGTTCTTTTATGTAGCTAGGGTTCTTTTCTGGATCAGTTTAGCATGGAGGGATCAAATGCTACAGTCTGTCTGTGGATCAGATCAACAACCAAAGGAGGAAGTAAGAGTAGCAAACAACTAGCAGAATAGAGCACAGCTCGGTACAGCAAAGCTAAGTTAAGCAAAGGGGAAAGTTGTGGGATCAGATCACCCAGCCTTTCACTGTCTCTCCATATGAGTATTTTCCTTCTCTATTTATTTTATTTCAAATTCATTCATGCCAATGGATGAATCACAGCCATCAAAACCCCAATACATGTCATTAATTAGACTGAATTTTCAAGCATTCATTGTTGCTGCCTAACCAATACCAACAACTACAACAAATGAACTTCTCTCAAATTGGACCCTGAATTGAAAGAACCAACAAACAAACTCCACAAAACTCCACATCAAATCTAGCTTAAACATGCATCGTAGGTCCACTAAGAATGTAACCATAGTCAAGAAACTCACCTCACTAGATACCGATGCTTGAGCTCGTTTCCCTGCGAGCTTTTTGATTTCATTTTGCTGATAATAGTATCTTCTTTTTCACAGATTCATTACAACCCTATAAGCAGATGAAAGAACATACTTAGAAATAAAGTGACTACCATCTCCACCCTATAGCAGCAGCTTTAGCACTCTTGAACAAATTGACTAATAGCTTTAGCTATCGGTTTCGTGAGCATTATCCAAAAAAAGCCAACCAAAAACACCAACGCTGCAGAGACATAAAAGGGAATTCCAATCAAACAGAACAAGAACACGCTCGATTTGGAGGAACTTCGTCAACGCTGCAAGAACCCAAACAACATCAATCACCTTGAAGGGCATTGAAGACTTTCTTGCCTCAAAACAACGAAATGCATAGAGGCTCAAACAATGGAGTCATCGACTCTAACAATACAAATTGACTAATAGCTAGCTATCGGTCTCTGCAACAACTAACTCACACAGCCGGACACTTCAGAAGCTAAAGAACTGGACATCGGAAGGGGAAAACTAGCGACTCCATAACATATTGATATCAGCTGGATGTTTTTCTAAGATTTGAGAAATTGAAGCACAACCTAATGTTCCCATGACAGAAATAAGCAGACCCAGATCATGAATTGTAGCAAATTGAACCCAGATCTGAGAAAAGCTAGACAATCTTAGAATCCCTTACTATAACAGAGAATGAAACGCACCGAGCATCGTCTCGTCCTTGTGATCCTGAATGGAGATGAGATCAGATGAGAAATTGAAATCTTCGAAAGTGATACTACTGCTTCCTCCACCGCCAACAACGGCAGTAGTAGAGACTGAGGAATGCGCCGACTGGGGAGTGCTGAAGTGTTGGTGGGCGACGTCGTCCCCCTGGCGGCGACTGACGGAGCCAATCTCGAGGCAGAAGCTTCCGGAGACGGAAGAGGAGGAGAGAGCCTTGAGGATGTCGGAATCGGAGGCATGAAGCGGGGAGCGGCAGAGAGGGCAGGTCTGGTTGGAGAGGAGCCAGGTGTCGATGCAGGCGGAGTGGAAGGCGTGGCAGCACAGAGAGAGGAGGCGGAGCTGGTCGTTTGGCTCGAATTTGGAGAGGCAGACCGCGCAATCGCTCGAGGTGGAGGAGGCTGAGGCTAAGCGGCGGTGGATGGAGGCGAAGGTAAAGAGAGGGAGGGAGTCGAGGAGAGAAGAGTCGGTGATTTGAGGGGAGATGCGGCTGCGGTTGGAGGAGGCGGTGGAGGCGGAAGTGAAAAGCCTCACTAAAGTGTTGGTGGGCGACCTTCCATGTAGGGATTTAGCGGTTTGCTGTTTTGAACCGCAGCCGCGGGATTTCGGTCGGCTCGTACTGCAAAACCATGAACCGCTTAATAATGAAACCGCAAATGAAACCGCAATCTTAACGATGTGGTTTGGGCTGACCGCACAAGCGATTTGGAGCGGGCGGAGCGGTTTGGACCGCACCCATGTCCACCCCTAAATTCATGTGCCTTTCTTCAGTGCATACCTTCTATCTCAATTTATTACATTTATTACCCTCAAGCTCAAAAGATTCTTTATCAATTCATTACATTTATTACCCTCAAGCTCAAAAGATTCAATTATGAAGTATCAACCCCATTTTATCTCTTAATCATTGGCAACCATTGTACTTATCTGAATAGACCGTGATTTGATCCTCACCTATCTAAATGAGATACTTGGTAACTTGATATTTGTAACCACTTCATTTGAGTCACAAGTATGCCTAACAATTCTTCTATATTTATCTCACTTGATATGCTATTATCTTAGGTGAAAGGATAACACTTAAAGTCACAATTCGCAAGTAGTAGTACACATTCATCGAACACCTCCTTCGATAAGTGGCATTATTTTTGGTAATGAGTCTCCCACCCTTCTTTTATGTACCCTCTAAAATCTTGTTGAAATCCTTCAGACAACCACAATTGATTATTTCTATTCTTGCTTGATCGGATAAGTTTTCATGTCTAATTTCTTTCTCTTTTGTTAGGTCTTCAATAGATCTCAGTGAGTCGCCAAGAGGCTTCCCCTTTCATACTAGATTCGTCGCCATCCATCTAGTAAAAATAAGAAGACTCCACTGAAAGATCAACATTATCAGTCCAAGAGAAAGCTAGTTCATCAACCCTGTCTCGAGCCTCGACCCGTTCTCCATCTTGAAACCCTCACTCCACTCCACTAATATTCTTTCATCTTTATTTCCGTCACGAAGAGGATAGGGGGAGATTCTTCCATCACCATATCCTTCAACTGTGAAACATCTCTGTTAGAGTTCAAACCCTCGTGTTGTAACTAACTATCGTCCGGATGATGAAACGTGATTGGAAGATAAAACGTCAATAAATGTGCCAAGCGGATATTGAAAGAAAAGCCTCTATTGAGAGTAGAAAAGGAGAAAAATCAAGAAGCTAAACTGTTTGAAATTGTCGATGGATCATAAGACAAAAAAGATCGGAGAAGAAAATTATCGACATCTGAAGAGTTCAAGAAAGACGAAAATTGCTCATTCGCAATTTGTCACCAATCCATTATTTCCTTAGATTCATTGGAATATGTCTTTAAAACAAGGCACACGAAAATATATTTTCTCCCTCTCTGTACATGTAAATTAAATGAGAAAAGATGTACAAAAAGAAACATCAACACGATTACATACTTTCACCCTCTCAGTGTTTTGAGTAAAAATACTAACAATACAATTCTAATACATGAATATACTTTTGAGCTTCCTTTGTAGCACCTGTAACTTATCTCTCAGGCTACTATACCGATCTTACATTCCTAAATATTTAATGAGAAAAAGGATATGAAGCACCTAAATATTTTACATTTTGTGTTGGGTTGGTCTATTTATAACAATCTTTCATTATATATTATGGATCTCTTGTGATTTAGGTTTCAGGATCCATGTATAAGAGAGATCCGACCTCAACACAGAAGGAGGCAATGACTATAGCTCTCCTTGAATGTTCGGTACTTGTTTATCATGAGCTCGATGATTATTCGTTGCAGTGGACGAGGCCCCCGAGGAACTGCCTGTTGAGATGGATACAGTCAGTGATGGTCATGTGGACAACATGGAAGTCGAGGGAGTTCCGACATCGGTGACAGACGTGAGATTCGCACCGGAAGTTTGTGCGTGCAAAGGAGAAGCATTCATGTTGATTTTGATCCTGCAAGTTATTGATTAATAAACACACGTTAAACATATGATGGGGAGGATTCAGGTAGGTTATGTACAAGTGTCATTTTTACCCCTTTTTTAACCAAACAAGTTATAAGAATCAACATATTCTCGATACAATATCAAAGGCAGACAATAAAAACGTCCTAATATCCCCAAATTGCAACAAGTACAATGTCAGGTGGATCTATACAAACAATAAGCTTATCGATTGAATTTTATTTTAGGGGCATGTCAGAAAATGTATAATAAATTCTTTGACATTTTCCAACAACTCAACTGTTTTATTAATTGAATTATTTTTCATTGTTACTCGTTAGTTAAATTCCACTTACCTGTTATGGAGGTTAACGTATTCATCTGTTTCATCCAATATCTCTTCCTGAGAAGTGAAATCATATAATGTATTCTGCGAGATTAGTTTTCGAGAAATAATGGTAAAATTAAAAAACACACGATGTTGAGCATGTTATAGTCCATCCTATAAGAATGGAATTAGATAATTTTACCTGAAGGAGCTCTTCAATCACGTCCTCCATGGTGATCACACCAACCACTTCTTCATTAGATGGGAATTCTGGAATAGAACCATTTTCGATATCCAATATGCAATACGAACATCCTCTGTGACGCTTCTTGAAGGAAGGAATCACCTGAGGCGAATTATTCCTATTCGATTGACTAATATCAACTGTCGGGTTTTCAGCAACGGTGGAGGGGCCAATGTCGTTGTCATCTAACAATCATCAAAAAAGTTATTAAGATATGCAAAGACACAACTTAGAGTAACTAAGTACGGAACACAAGAAAGTCTGGCTACTGGAGCCACAATTTAAGACAACAAAATGACTTTCCATATCATTAAGAGTATTGGTTTTTATGTCCGCACCTGTTGTAGCGGATGTCTCAGCTCCTGCGCTCTTCTTGCAACTGTCTTTAAAGTCGAGCTCTTCACCATCTTTTTTGTTCAAATTCCAATCTTTATAAACAACAGCGATGTGACTGTGACCCTTTTGGAATTCATTTAGTATATCATATAGTGGTATGTCTTCAGAAACCCTGCAGGATGATCAGAAAAGTAAAATGGAGGCACTTGGGTTTGGCATCTTCTAGCAATACAAAAATGTATAGGATGAGCATACCTAGTTATTTTCCTTATGGTCATCTTCCTCACCGGGACAGAATCTCTAGAATCAACTGTCAAGAGATTTTTCACCTACACACCATCATAGAAAGTAAGAGCTACAAGGTTGAAGGATTTCTTCGCGTCTTTGTATACAAGAATAATAAACACAAGACAGAGGGAAAAGCTGTATAAGTTCTTAGAGAAAGAAAAGCAATTACCAAAATGAGTCCAATTATATTTGACGGACTTCCCGAATAAACTGGGACTCTACTATGCCCCATAGTCATAATTGCATTAAGTGTCTCCCTAAAAATGTGCGGAGAAAGGAATAGATTTAGGAGACAAGAAGGGAGCTAGCCAAAAAAAGAACAAAGACCAGAGTTAACTAGGACCACAAACCCACAAATTAAGAACGGCATCCAGATCCAGCGAGAATGCCTTTGATATGGGAGTCATGGCATCTTTAGCAGTCTTTTCAGTTAAATCAAGCGCTCCAGTGATTATAGTAGCCTCATCATGTGTCAAATCACCACCTTTCCCCGCCTATGTGACAACATAACGTCAATAATGATCCATAAGCAAATATGAACCGGTTAAATCCCGCAATTAAAATCAGCAGCTTCTGATGCATCAAGTAAAAATACTAGGAAGGAGTTTAAGGTAAATCGAATACCTCATTGGCATGAAAGTTAACAAAAGTCTTCAGTTCTGCTCTCCGCAAAACAGCTGCATGCCCCTTGCCCAACATCCAATCCAAGACCTGCAACATAAACAACGTTCTGAAGGGGAAGGAATAACTTATGGAAATTTAAATATCTAATCAACAAATCTGCAGCAAAAATGGCGACTTGCTAGCATCAAAACACATCACTTACAAATAACTTCACAATATTGAAAAAGAAGGATGATTGACAATACCTTACTGATTGGATATGCAACAGGGTAGAAGAGAACAAGCAGGCAACGAACAAGGGGAGCCAACGTTGCTCCGACGGTCAACCCATAGCGTGTGCAGATTGCTTGTGGCAATATCTGTTATCAGAGGGCAAACACGTAAAGAAGACCGAGAAGTCACGGTTGATACCAAAATAACATCCTGATAAAACTCAAGAGACGGTTTCGAAACATATACCTCCCCAAATAGAAGAACAAGAGTGACTGACACCAAGATTGCAATGTACGGAGGTGCAAGCTTGTCCAAGCATATAGGCAGAGCCTGGGATTCAACAAACAGCGATTGGAAACACACGATAGTGCTATAAGCCTTTTGAGTTCGTGGGGAGACCGAGACACCCATCATGAAGAAACGCCATAGAATTTCACAAATTATTTTACCTCCATGGCAAGAGCATTGCCGATCAAGAGAGTACACAACAAAAGGTGTTGATTCTTTACCACTGGAAATATCTTGGCTGCAACGAGGAACCATATAATTCAGCACAGTAATGTCTCGAAATTCAGATCCCAAATAAGTCACTGATAACACATTTTCCCTATGAGTGAGTAGTTAATTGATTTGATTGTTCAACCTGCTAACATGTGGAGCCATAACGTACTCCAGCCGGGCCATCCGGATGCATCAATTTGGATTTTGGACTAACGATGTTGAGTTAAGAAGGAATCTGATTTCCCAAATATCCCTCTCTTTTGGTGAAACTGAAATTCTCGAAATCGACCCCGTCGTGCAGGTGGCAACATTGCTCTACTATCGAGTAAACTAAATTAATATACATTCTCACGAGTTAGGAGTCCCAACTCAAACTAAATTAATATACATTCTCACGAGTTAGGAGTTCCAACTCGTTGGATTAACTTGCTAAGATAAACAAACAAAGAATTAAATGTTCTACAGGGCATATGCAATGAACTGACAACTAAACAACCAAATCACTGCAAAGGAACAGTTCAGTAGTCCATCATCTTCTTCTTTCATGATCAACATCCACCGTCTGTGATCTTACCCAGCTAATTCAAGCTCGGTCAATCAAAGCCCCAAATCTCCATCGAAAGAGCATTGTAAAAGGGCCAACGGAGCAGACTAGAACCAAATTCAGACAAAACTTATCCCCTCCCAAACACAATCACAACTACTCTAAATTTGATTCCTTCCAGTATTACGACTAACTCAATTCTATCCCAACTAATCAACAGCCACCAACAGATTCAAGCAACTCTCTGAGACATACGGAATTCGTACTGCGAGCTAATCAATGGAACTCTAAATTACTTAAGGAATTCGTACTGCGAGCTCATCAACGGAACTCTAAATTGATTCCTTCCAGTGGTATGGCTGACTATCCGAAGAGAGATAAGCTAACATACCGGCGTGGATGCGGTCCAGCGGGCGGCCGGACTTGATGAGGACTTCGAGGTCGACGAGGCCCAGGGACATGAGGCCGAGAGTGAGGCCGGCCATTAGACCGGCGAAGATCACCAGTCCGATAACCGCCAGGACGTAGAGGGAGAACTGAGTTCCACAGCAGGGAACATCGTCCGCCATTCAATCTGCGTGTGGAAGACGAACGGGCCGCCGAAGGAAGGCGCCGGAGAAACAATCAGTGATCGGGAAGCTTTCTGGAGGGAGGCTGGGAGTCGGTTCCTTTTTTTTTTCGTGTTGGAGAGACAGTGACTGTGGGGTTTGCTTGCTTCGGCTTCTTATATACGCAGGAGGAAAGTGGGGCGGGCGGGGAATTTTATTGCCGGCTTCTATCTGGCCGCTTTATTACGGTATAGCTTTGGATTTGCAGATGAACCCGCAGTCGTCGTGGCGTGGGTACCCAATTTATTCGATTCTGTTAAAGTAGGAAAAATTTATACCGATAAATTTTTGGTCGGTACTGTTAAAATTTGCTTTTAAAATTGGGGAAAATATTCAAAAGTACCCCTGTTTAACCAAAAAATTCCAAAAATACCACCCTTTTTCAAAAACCGCCACCCCACCCAGCGGTTTAGTCGAAAACCGCTTGTCGGGGGCGCGGTTTTGGACCAAACCGCGGGCCTAGAAGGCGGTTATAAAAAAAAAAAAAAATTGGACCAAAACCGCTGGGTGGGGTGGCGGTTTGGTCCAAAAGTTCGGTCGAAATTTCAAACGAATGTAACTTTACACTCGGGTATCCGATCGTAGCGATTTTTTTTTTCATTTCGCATAACTTTTCAAGATCTACAACTTTTACTAGGATGAAATTTTCAAAACAGGAACTATTTGTGGATATACGGGACCTTGAGAATAACTTTACCTTTACTTTTCAGAAATCCATGTACATTTTGAAATTATGATTATATTAAAAGTTGTAGATCTTGAAAAGTCATGCAGAATAAAAAATAATTCATGACATTCGGATTTTGGAGCACAAAGTTATGGCCGCCCAAAGTTTGACGAAATAAAAAAAGGTCGTTCGGGGTGGCAAATGACGTTTTTTCGAGACGAAGACGGAACCCGACTGTTTGAGACTTGCAAGATCTCAAAAATTTATTCGGATTCAAAAAATGGAGGCCGCAAACATTTTGAGATCTTGCAAGCCGCAAACCGCCGGGTCTCGCCTTTCGTCAAACTTTGGGCGGCCATAACTTTGTGCTCCAAACTCCGAATGTTATGAACTTTTTTTTGATTCCGCATAAATTTTCAAGATCTACAACTTTTAATATAATCATAATTTCAAAATGTACATGGATTTCTGAAAAGTAAAGGTAAAGTTATTCTCAAGGTCCCGTATATCCACAAATAGTTCCTGTTTTGAAAATTTCATCCTAGTAAAAGTTGTAGATCTTGAAAAGTTATGCGAAATGAAAAAAAAAATCGCTACGATCGGATACCCGAGTGTAAAGTTACATTCGTTTGAAATTTCGACCGAACTTTTGGACCAAACCGCCACCCCACCCAGCGGTTTTGGTCCAATTTTTTTTTTTTTTTATAACCGCCTTCTAGGCCCGCGGTTTGGTCCAAAACCGCGCCCCCGACAAGCGGTTTTCGACTAAACCGCTGGGTGGGGTGGCGGTTTTTGAAAAAGGGTGGTATTTTTGGAATTTTTTGGGGTTGGGTGGTATTTTTGGAATTTTTTTTTAAACAGTGGTACTTTTGGATTTTTTCCTAAAATTGGTGGGTTAGGTTGGATGCAGAGTTTAGCCATAACTCAACTCGCTATTCACTATTGGAAAGAAAAATTTAATGATTTTGCATATAAGTCTAATATTATGAAACATTATGATTATTGTTAGTCTTTTATGACAATGTAACTCAAAGGGTTAATTGCAAGGATGGTCACTGGGTTTACTAAAACCGTTCATTTTTTGTCATTGTAAATATTTAATTCCATTCATGGTCACTAAGATTAGTTCAATAGTTCAAGTTTGGTCACTCTCCGTTAGTCTCTGTTAGTTTTTGCTTATGTGACAATCAACTATTATAGTTGACCGTTAAATGAGTGACGTGGCCATTAAAAAAATAATAAAAAAATAAAATTTAAATATTTACAATTTCCACCTCATTATACAACTATTAAAAATATAAATAAAACTTACCTCAGTCATCTACGCCATCGTGACCATGACGCGATCGTCTCCGCCTCCGCTTCTTCCTCAACGCCGGCCTCGCTTTGCTTCATTCTTCACCTGCCCCGAAAATTTTCAATGGAGTTCCACGGCTGTTTTTATTGCCCCGAAAATTTTCAATGGAGCTCGTCGCGGAATCCGACTCCCCGGGGTTCGAATTTCAATTCGGCGAATTTCTACTCGATGATGGGAGTCCAAGGGTTCGGGTCAGGTCAGGGCCCGAGGGTTTCGAATTTCGGAGCGACGGATTTGTACTCTGTTCAATCCTCCCGCGGCCCGACTCCCCGGCCGTCGAATTTCGAGGAGAATTGCGCGAATACGGCGGCCACTACCGGAGTGTCGCCGAGGTTCGGGTACTACCCTGCTCCGAACCCGGAATTCTCTCCCACCGCCGCCACAACAGCAGCTCCGGCGAAGGGAGCCAAGAGCAATCCTCCGGCGGGAGCAGGGGCGACATTGCAGCCGAGTAGTAACAATGGTGGCAGCAGAAAATCGAATCACGGCGCCAAGGAGCTTCATATGTTCGTCTGGAGCTCGAGCAATTCTCCGATGTCGGAAGCCGCCGGCGCCGTCGGCGGACTCCACGTTTTCGGCGGATCAACTGAGTCCGAACAGGGTGCCAAAGAAATCAGGATGCTCGTTGCCGATCACCCGCAGAACGGAGAAACAACTAAAGGTAACGAATTTTTTCCCAATTTCCTCGTCGTCTCCCTTAGCTTATCCTCAACCTATTTCACTCCATCAGCAGCTCGGGATTAAAGGGACAGATACAGGGCAAGGTTAATCTACATAAACGGCCACTGACTTTCAGAGCCACATCTTTCACTAGATTTTAGCCTTTGTACTAAGAAAAGAAACAGCCACTCTGTCCATTTGCAAGTTTTCGAGTCGACACATGCAATGGTTAACTAAGACACAGAGATGGATGGAATGTTTGATTGTTTAGTTACTCTAAAGTTCAAAATTCCGCGAACAGTTTGTTAGCGGCTTATGAGTTCAATGGCCATTGATGTATTTACCTGACATAAGGAAGACATAGATGAACATGTGAAGAGAAGGAGAAGAACAGGGAAAGGGGAGAAGTACCGTTTGAGTAATGCGTTTGAGCTGTTCATCATATGCCTTGTTCATTTTTTCGTTATTTATTTCATTCCCAATTTCCCGGCCAACATTACTTATCAATTAGAGAATACCTTGTTGTCATCTGAAGCAGGGGAGTTCCCCGGCGGTGAGGATTTCAGCTTCGCCTTGAAGGAAAAGGGGAAGACGAGAATGGATAAATATTTAAAGGGCTAATACCACTACAACACCCGAACTATCGAAGAAATGCCACTTGTGTCCTATTCTTTTCAATATTCCATTTCTATCCTGAACTATGATACTTTGTGCCATTTGTATCCTGACGATTTTGTTGACCGTTATCTCTAACGGTGGTCAAAGAGATGTTGACTTTTGCTGACATGGAAGGAAACGTGGCATCCACGTAGATGCCACATCATACCACAAATATTTTTTAATTGAAAATCAAATTAAAATGCAAAATAATTAAAAATTAAAAAAATAATGATTGGCCTTCGCGTTGCCGCTCCGCCGTCCCTATCTTCGTCAAGCACAAAATCCACCATCTCCGCCGTCCTTACTCCTCCTCTCTGAGTCCCTAATCTCAAAACCCCCAAACTTTAGTTTCGTAGTGAGAAATCACCATTCCTCCTCCCTATCAATCGAAATCCCCATAAAATCATCTTCTTCCCCTATACTCTGGCTCCTCCACATATCTAAAACCAACTGGATCCAAAAGATGTTGATTCTGCAAGCGGGAGCAGAGTGCCTGGCACTTCGGGGGATGCGCGTCGGAGGAGGAAGTGACGGCGGCGACGGTGGTGAAGGAGCTCTAAGCTCACCCACGGCGACGACGACTAATGAATCCCCGACGATGCACCGACGATGCAGCCTTCTTCCCCTGCTAGTTTTGAATCCCCTCCAAATTGCCTGAGCCCGCCGACCCGACCCTCCAAATTGGCTTGGCCTGTCGACCCAACATCGGGGCATGCTCAAGTTATCAATCGATGAGTGATGGGCGGAAGAGAGACGGATTTGGATGGGGGGAGTTGGGGCCATGGCTGGTCGATTTAGAGCTCCCCTGAAATCGACCATGGAATTTACGATTCAGAGCAGTGGTGGAGGCAGGGTTTTTTGTCGAACGAGAGGAGTGATTGGAGCGCGCAGTGGCGAGGGAGCTGGATGGAAACCCGCTGCATTTTTGGGTTCGAAGAGGAGAGCGAAGTACTGGGAGATGGTGGCGACTTCGCGGAGTCGGCGAGTTGGGAGGCGGAGATGCGGAGGTGAGCAAGGAGGGAGACAGAATGTGGGAGGAGGGTGAGGTCGGAAGTGGTCCAGAGTTTTTTTTTAAATGTTATTAAATTAAATTGAGTTTAAAATTCCATGTCATCCGCCACATCAGTGCTAACTAAAATTTATGTTAAAAACTAACGGTCAACACCGGTCAACTCTAACGGAAAAATAGTTCAGGACACAAATGGAATATTTGAAATAATAGGACACAAGTGACATTTTTGTCATAGTTCGGGTGTTGTAGTGGTATTAGCCCATATTTAAATTTTAATAGTTTTATTTTTATTTTTATAGTTGTAAAATAAGGTGGAAATTATAAATATTTATATTTTATTATTTTTTTAATGGTCACGTCACTCATTTAACGGTCAACTATAATAGTTGACTGCCACATCAGCAAAAACTAACGGAGACTAACGGAGAGTGACCAAACTTGAACTATTGAACTTATCTTAGTGACCATGAATGTAATTAAATATTTACAGTGACCAAACATGAACGGTTTTAGTAAACCCAGTGACCATCTTTGCAATTAACCCGTAACTCAAATAACATGGATGATTGTTGATGTTATTAGTCTCAAGAACAATATAGTTATAGGAACAAAATTATAATTTAAATGTGCACGCACAGAGTAATTATCCACGATTATATATGTGAATCCATGAGTATCCATGCATCCAAGGATACAGATTGGGGTGAGTTGAGTTTTCTTGTTCAAAATTTCGTGCGTATTTTACCAAATTTTTTCTTAAGAATGCACACGTTAAATAGAATTTG